TTTCACCCCCTGTTGGTAGACTAAAGCAATCAGAATGCTAGATCAAGTTGATAACAAGACAGAAAATGCCTGACCTGTGATTCTGAAGGGTCAAATTACTAGCCAAGCATTACCGAATAAAAAATGAAACGATAGTTTTGTCAAGAACCAAAAACAAATTTTATTTTACATGGCACTAACTGAGTGCTATACTGTGCTAAATAATCAATTTTTGATAAAACCTTGAGCTCCAGGATGTGTTTTTATAAGGTAATAATAATAGCATACAGTACTGTAAGCTGTAAAAATCCTATTTACGATCATCTCTTGGTCTATAGTCTTTAACATATAATGCTCATTCCTTCCCAGTTACCTTGAAAATGTAAGCGTACAAATCCTTTGTAAATTATTAAACAACAAACATATGGTACTGCATGAATACTTCAGCAGGATGTGGTCCAAAAGAATGTATGAATAGGTTCTACCGTACCTACCTTGTGTTATCATTATTCACCCACAAGTATCATCCTCTGTATTATTATACAAATTATTCTTCAAAAATTTGAGCACAACCGGTGGTATTGGAAACAGACAAGGCAAACATAGCAAATGTACAAAGCTAAAAACATATTAAGTGAATATACAGATGCCTGAATTATTTTGTAAAACCGATTTTCTAAATATTAGAAGTCAGAGCTGTTAAACTCTATGAACTTAATGTCAATCACCTTCACTTAATCCTCTTCCCTTTGTTTAAATTCCTTTCACTGTTAGCTTTGAAAGTACAGTGTAATATTTATGATGTTTAGCCATAGACACAATCATCTGAGTGTGAAAAGAGGAGGGAATTGTTTATTCAAGATTACTGACCAGTTCATTTCTGCCATGTTCGTGGATTTGTACATGTATGTGTTGTGATTGATATTTGAAAGGATATGTCAAGACATACTAAAACACAGTGCCATATGCATATTGTTATTGTTATTATTATTGTTATAGTTTTGCTACAGTCATTGTTAATTTTGTTGGTTGTTGTTGCATGATATTATCTATAAAAGATTTGAAATTTATTCCAAATTAGTTTTCCAATATATTAAGCAGCAAAATATGATTTTTTTTTTATGAAACTGTTCAAAATAATTTAATCTATACACTAGACTACATTAGGATATAAATTAAGAACCCACAACAAATGAGTGGGCGGAAACCTAGGCACTATACTCTCCATTGGTGGTACCATTGACTGAGAGTAAAAAGACATGGATTAATACATTATTCCTTTTTTGCTAAATATGCATTAAAACGGTCTATTGATAGATTTTTACTTACTTACTTTTGTTTACTTTTGTTGTTGGGCTTGAAGCACTTTTGCAAGGGAATGAGCCTACCAGTTAGTCTGAAATTTCTGAACTGTTTTTTAAACTGCAGAATAGAATCCTGCATATTTTCAATTAGTTAGGCTTAAGTATATCTTTTCCATTACAAACTTAAAATTTACATCATATTAATCCTCTACATTTGAAACTGAAAATGACTGAAATAACTGTCTGTATCACTAATTAAATACACCAAATCATCATATTTTATCGTCCTTGTTGAAAATTACCTCGAGCAGAATTATCCAACATGTTTATGCCAATTTACGCAAATGTGTCAAACTGCACATACTGTAGGACCTAACGCTCTCACAATGTGAAGCTATACAGCTTTCTGTACCTTTTAGCTTTATAATCATAATCTATACTGTTGTAAAATTAAGCAAAAGCAGAGAAATATCATGTCAAAAAAATAAACCAAGGAATTAGAAGAAAACAACAAGTTACTGTCCACTAAGACTATATGATGAAAAATGACAAAGATATTCTATGACAGAGTGTCTTCCGTTATATATATAGTATACCATACTTACCCAATTATAATAATTAATCATGTACAGTAAAAAGGAAAATGTACATGATTAATTATAATAATTAATCATGTACATTTTCCTTTTTACTACCTAGTGGCATTACTACACATGGGCTTAGCCATAGTAGACTTCTGGGGGCCTATTCACTAATAAACCTTGCTTCATACATTCGGGTTTTTTTGAAATTTAACCTTACAAACAATGAAAAAATAAAATATTAATACAATAACATAGGTAGATAATGGAAGATAAAAGGGTCCGTCTATCCATATAAATACCTAATGATTTTATAATAATTCAATTCTGGAGTATTTATACATATCTTAGATTCCAACTCACGGTTTGTCGTTATCCCAAAAATAGGCCAAAACAGAACACCGTAACCACCATACAGCGTCTCATATTAATAAGGACCTATTCCTAATGTTATGTGCAAGGCAATTAATGAGAGTACCATCAATATAAATTTAAGAACATGTTATACGTAATAAAGTATAAACAAAAGAGGGAAATACAGCATCATAAAATACCAGACCACAGTAACCTAGGTCCTAAGTAACCTTGCCTGCTAAGTCTACATAACAGTGATCTCTGAGACAACAGGCTACGTCTGGCCTATGAATGCGATGAGCTAGCCAACGCATGCGGAAGACCAGTCAGGGAAAAAAGTCAACCCTACGATTTTGAGCATGAACTTAATACAAAACTTATCTTACGTGATTAGACGCCTGAAAATACTGCGGATTCAGGATACAAACTGGTCTTTATGCGTCCATATAAATCGGAAACCTTGACGATACCTCCATCACAATCTATAATCCGTTATTTTCATTCTGTCCACCTTTCCTATCGTCCGCATAATAATGTCACATAGTATTCTGCTAGAGCTAATGCCGACTAGCGACCAAGTTAGCGATCACTGTCTGACCTATCTCGACTTTGTGGTCAAGGTCATGGAACTAGTGGATGAAACTAAATTCTGACACTCCAGTATGGCATCGGCTATTTGTTATCATAAACATTAACGTTACAATTCTTATCGCGCCACAGAATAATAACTAAACAGGTCATTAACGGTTAGCCGTTATAAAAGATGACACTGTAATGTGTATACAAACTCAGCAATGAAGGTGTTACAAAAAAAATTCCACTTTATAGTAGGCCATGTTATCGGGCCCACTATGATTAAGATGTGTATAAGAGACAGATATATGCATTACCAAGAATGTAAATCAGATATCAAGGAGGAGAATGCGATGAGTACTAACAAGAAAAATATGACAATACAGGATAATCATATAGACCGGCACTTAAACTCTAATTACAGAAAAGAAAGTACATCAGCTTCTTGTGAAAATTTGTGCCATGTTTTATAATTTATATTTGATTATAATTGAGATGAGCATGAATTGCAGGGTTTCGGACTGTTGTATCATCAGTCATGTTAAAACCATGCATAATTTGCAACGCTTCCACGCGCGTATTTGTCCTCTGTCAGGAAAGTAATAAAGGTTATAAGATATTACTCTTAATTGTACCTAATTACTGTATGATTCTTCTTTATCATTTTCCTTTGATTTCGGTATTTTGTATCTACCTACTAATTCTTAATAATGTTATAGTCACTTGTCCCATGATACTGCAAGCCTATTTCATTCCATTTTCATTAGGTAAAACTCTGCATTTATTATAGCCTATATACGTCTAGATTTGAGTTGTAAGGTGTAAATGTTTGATAAACGGACGGTAGTATAGAGCGCCTCTAAAAAATTAAGTGCGCCACCTGACTTGGCTAATATTTGTTTACCTGTGATTTACCTCTAAATCCAGCCGTTAATATTGTACTTTTTGACAAAAACATTAATAAAATGTATATATATTTATATTTCGGAAAAAATGAAATTTATTTGTACAATGGTGTGTAACTATCGTATTCATATTTGTATATCACATCTCATATAATTTGATCGATATCAGAATATCGTCGTATTTGAAATTGACTTTCGTCATAGCAACCATGGTTGCTATGATAATTAATACAAAAAGGTCATTGAATTCCGACGGGGAAGCTTGCAGATTGTAGTGAAAAATAAATATTCCCGAAAATGCCTTATGAAGAAGAGGGATCAGAAAATATTCAAAAGGGATCTTTCGCCATATTTGTGGCGGAAGGTGATGTTCTTTTTAAGCAAGGAGAGTACAAAAAGGCACTAGAAAGTTACAGCGAGGTTAGTTATTTTGTTTGATGGTTAGGCTTACCGCTGGCTGTGTCCTGCTCGGGCAATATATTTGTCTACTGCCTAGGCCTTATTCTAGAACTAGGCCTAGTAGGCTAGGGTAGCTTTGTACTTTATTATATTACTGTATTTGATGTGAAATTTGTTTCACCAAGGAATTATTGCTATTTTATTTATTAGATGGGCCGTAACTGTTTGTGTGTGACATTATTTATATTTCTTATTAACATATTGTTATTTTATGTAGCATTTTGCAGTAACATCATACTCATATTTACAAAGTAATAAATAAATATAGGTTAGGCCCTAGACCAGGTTAGGAGATGCTTAGGCCCAGCCCACAGTAATTCATTAACCATTTATTTACTAAATTTTAACATAAGGCTGTAGTTATCAATTAATTTTTGATATTTTTAAAACTGATTTCACACAAACATTCTTACTTTCCAGTTTCACTTTTTTAGTCTGTGTCAGTGAATTGTTTTGATTTTTATTCTCACAGGGAGCTTATTGATTGGCCAAGCTTGGGTTACTTTTTATAAATTACCATACAACAAGGTCTTACTCTCTTTCATTGGAATGCTCCACCTTATGAAGAATTGTTTTTTCTTCTAAGCTTTCTTCATTGAAACTTTAGAGTTTTGAACAAACATTTACAGTAGTTTAATCCAATAATTTCCAGATGTGTACATTTGATATTTCAGTTGTGAGCAATGCTAACAAACAATACAACCAGTAATTTCAATTTTTTGAATGATACCTACTAAGATTTGGAAGAGTCCTATTATGCCCTTAAAGAATTTACATTTTAATCACCTCATTTGTTTTGACATGACTCTACTAATGACAAAAAAATTAAAAACAAGTTGATGTAATAGTACCTGTAGTAGCTTATGTTTGTGTGTTATGAACATATATGTTCTATTGATATTTTCTATGTTAACTATAGTTTAAATTATAGTTTACAAAGAAAATTTGTTGGCAGTGAGGGGATGAATAGGGTGCAATCAATAGGTGTCTATTTATTGATCGTTAGAGCCTCTGGTAATAGAACAAATGGTAGAACGCTCTATTGATCTTTGCAACAGGTTAATCACAAATCTTTGTGTAGTATCCATGGAGACACCAAGCAAGACCCAGCACTCACATTTGCAGGGTCAGTGGTCATATTAAGTTGTTGCAGTTAAAACCTGTTGAAGAACTATTAAAGCTTAAACCTGGAATATATATATAAAAGCAGGAATTTACTTTTTACTTTGCTTATGTTTGGAGAGGACTAAAAGTGTTAAAAGATAGACATGGAAGATTACGTTGATCCAGAAGTAGAGAAAGCAGAGTTGTTAAAACTCTTACAGTCATACATAGGTGAAGCAGAAGACCACATGCGAAAGAAAGAATATAAAAGAGCTGTAGGGGGCTACAATTTGGTAATCAATTTTTCAAATTTAGATCATTTTTATCCCTGATAGTTTAAATATTTTATGTACAGTACAGTTGGCTTTTTAAAAATATTGTTCTAGGTGGTTTCCAGCCTTGCATGATAGTGGTTGACTGGGTACAATAAAATGTTACTAAATTTCAATAAACAAAAATTAATAATGTTAATTTATTTTATTATTTAAACATACCCCCATTGTGTTTCTAATATCTTACAATTACTAGGCTCTGGAGCTTGAACCGACAGACAAGAACTGTTTAGTGGCAAGATCCAAGTGTCACCTCCAGTTAGGCAATGCAGCAGCAGCCCTCAGAGATGCCGAAGCCTCTCTTAATGAAGATAAAGATTACCATAAGGTAAGATATAGCATTCTTTTAATACCATTCTTTTCATTACATTATTTAAAATATTTTCATGTATTTACTCCCTATCTCACATTGCCATTCAGCACTTCATGAAATTTACCCCTTTCCCTAGATGGCCACAAGCCCCCTCTTCTCAGTCACCCTAATTTCTGTTGAATGTATAACATGTATCACATGCTAGTGGTAATGATAATTTAGTACAAATTCCCTGCTACATTGAGTCCGTACGAATGCACATCCATGTATGTAAGATTAGCATGCCTACCGTGTAATATCCATACATGTATGAAAAACAAACATTTCAAAGGACTATAAAGTTAACACTCTTGAGATTTTTTACATGGAATTGGGCATAACAGGGAGGAGCTCATCTTTTAACAAGGTTTTAATTCATTCATGTGGCAAAAAACGTATCTCAATGGAATGTTTTGGGAAGGTTGTAACAGTTATTGCATGTCTTGTGTTCTTCCACACTATGGAACAATCTTCCGGCAGAACTAAGGAGCACAACTTCCATTGTCATGTTTAAGAACAAACTTAAAACTTATTTATTCCGCAAAGCTTTTCATCATCTTATTACTGAAGTGAATTCTACTTAACCATTAATGATTTATTGCAGACATAATTATATCGGTGACATTTGCAGTAATAAACTGACCTGTGAAACTTGTAGATAATTGTAATTTTATATTTATTTTTGAATTGAATTTTGGTACATTTTGAGATATTTTTATTGGTATTCGAATAATAATTGATATTGGATTAAATATTAAATTTTATGTAATTGTAAATTGTAATTTATTGGTTACCACAATTTGTAATTAATTTTAATGATTTTAATATTGTAATTGTTTTCATTATCTTTCCTTTTAATTGATTATCATTCAATATTGTAGATATTGGATTTAAACTTTTAATTGATCTGTATTGTAATAATTCTTAATTATATATTATAGCTTGTTAGGTAATTAACAATATTTAATTTTTAACTGAATTTTCCAATTTTAATTATTTTAGCAATGTAATTAATTATAAGTATATTTTTGTAGTTTCTCTATATAATAATTTGTAATCTGATTGTATAATGCTGCCTGTTTTTATTGTATTTTATCAATTTTTATGTAAAGCGTATTGAACAGTATTCTGAAAATGCGCTATATAAATTCATATTATTATTATTATTATTGTCTGATTTGGGAATAAGGGTTTATTATAGCATATCAATTGTATCGCACAAGCATTTAAGTCATTTGCTTAGATAGAAATGAAATATATTTTTTTTAAATACTTTATTTTAAAGGTGGTTTTTTATAAACCAGTTATTTAAATATAATAGACTGATTAATCAATTATCAATCAATTAATCAAGAGTGTACAATTAATTAATTTCACTAGGGTTTGTATCAGAAAGCAGAGGCGCTCTACCAGACCGGCGACTTTGAAATGGCCCTTGTTTTCTACCATCGTGGTAATAAGTTACGTCCAGAGCTACAAGAGTTTCGACTTGGGATTCAGAAGGCACAAGAAGCTATAGACAACTCAGTTGGTAGTAAGTTCAACATGTGCATAATTCTGTTATGAAAAAGATGACGTTTAAGTATAAAAACAATTTCCAGTTTAGTTTGAATCAAAATGAACATTTTTACATCTTTTTATCTAGTGTATATCTTGTAGATGCAGTACAATACTGAACTGCTAATTGTTTATTTTGGACTGTATAGTTGCACTTTAAACTGTTCCAATCTTCTCATTTTAAATGGTTAAATTTGTACCCAAGATGAATGAATGAATGAATGAACAAACCAATGTTCCAAGTCATGTCTAAATTCTTCAATGGCCTTACTTTGGATTTGTTAGCAGAATATACCGTAAGAGATAATAGGTCCGTTGATGTATCTGTGGTATTCCTTTAAACAATACAAAATTACAGAAAAATTATAGTATATAAAATTATATGTCTCTAACCCTCAGGTCCCTCAAAGGTGAAATTGGAAAACAAGGGTGATTTATCATTCTTCAGTAAACAAGATGAGGTAAAGCTAAATATATTATAAAATTTAAGAGGATTTTTATTTTACTTCAATTTCAGCACATAAATATTACACAGTGAAACATATAAATCAAAACAAAAAGAATTTGCATATGCCAAGGACACAAACTCAATCATTTATTGTATGAAAAGTAAGCAAGCAGGCACATGGAATACCATATATTCTTGCTTATAAGACGACCCCCAAGTTTCAGAAGATATATGAAACATATGAAACCCCTCCCCCCCCCCTCTCCGCATTCAGCCTTTAAATCACCATATAAGTCCAAGGTTTAAGCTTGTTTAAGTTCATGTATTTCATTGTATCACCATTTAAAAAGCATTAATTAAAACTTAAAAACTGACAAATTAAACAACAACCATCTTGTATGGCATTCATTTCTGGCTCGGAAAGCGTACATTGTGATCATACTAACATTTAGCTTCATTTCAGTAGTAAATTCACGTATTACAGATGATCTGCCCATAAGACGAACATGATTTTGAGATTAAAAAAATGTGTATGTTGCGCTTATAAGATGTCTCCATGTTTTTTAATCGTAATTTGCTATTTTAAGCCTCGTCTTATACACGAGAATATATACGGCATGTGAAACAATATTACTCTATAAATAATAAATGAATAAAAAAAATATAAAAACTTTATACTGATCTAAAGGAGAAATGTGTCAGATATATTAATATTCTTGTAGTGTTTGTATTTTGAAGATTACAAAAACGTCTCTCCTCAAGTTGCGTTCATTAGGGAGTAAAATCAGCCAATTCAAAACAGATTTTAATGTTTTCTAAATTGAAATTCAGTTTCTGGAATTAAGAGAATGGGATACTTTGTTGAAGTAGAGTTAAAATTAACTCTGTTTTTTACCCAGGGTATGATATTGAATGTGTATTCCCCGAGTGTGTGAGTAAGAAGTCATGAAAGATGAAATTACACTTACGTGATTATCATCTTTATTGAGCTGCTGAAAATAAAATTGTTCATGGCTTATTGGAAAGTTAAAGATTGACTGTCAACTCATATACTGTAAAACCTCGAATAGAAGCCCAATGGGCTTAAACTTGAGAAGAAGCCCATCTCGAATTGAAGCCCCCCCCCCCCGCTTTAGTTTGCAAAAGCAGTATCGAAAAAGAAGCACATCTCGAAGGGCTTCTTTTCAAGATAGCATGGGCTTCTTTCCAAGATAGTACAGTACATACACTGTACATGAATTTCAAAGAAACAAAATAAATTAAAAACATGCTTTGATTATACAGTAGTTTAGGTGATTTAATGCTGGTTAATACACTCCATGATACAGATTGATGTTACAGTGGCCCTGTTTATTATTTCCAATACAGCATTCATTTTCATTATACAGCAAAAAATGTTATTAACTTCCAATAAAAACACATAAAAACCAAGATATATATAGCACATTTTATTTTTGTAGTAAAACATTGCAATGTGTTTTTTTTTTTTATTTGACTTATAAAATCTTATTGTGATGTGGTTCTTTTATTTTTTATTTAAATTTTGAGGTTTTTTTTAAATATATTTGGGCAGTGGTGTGTCTTTTAATTTTTTATATTATTTTGTACGGCTTTTAGATGAAAACAAAGAAACAACATCGAATGGGCTACACCAAACCAGGTACCAAACAGATGGACAACAAACAGAATCGTCGACCTGCCCGAGCGGAACCAACTGAAAAGGAGAAGGAAATTACAAGACAGCTGTTGGGTGATCTCTACAAGGACAGACTTTACCTGGATAAATTACTCAAAGATGGAGGTTAGTTGTTATTATACAATACAAAAAAACTACACAGTTCATTAACATTTCTTTATGATAAGAGCATTATTACTTAGTAATTATTTTTTAAACTATTATTTTGATAATAGTTGTTATTGTATTAAAATGTTCCAAAGTGAAAATTTATTTGTAAGTTGAAAATTGCATGGGTCCCAATTTGGAAGAAGTTGTTATTATACAATACAAAATACTAACTACACAGTTCATGAACATTTCTTTATGATAAGGGCATTATTACCTAGTAATCCTTTTTGAAACTATTATTTTGAAAATAGTTATTATTATTAACATTTTGACTGCCAGGCCATTTTAGTGATAGCAATGCTCTCTGCCAGACATTTTAGCCTATATGACCAAGTTTCCAGTTCACATTGAGAACACATGTATATACAAATATGGAATGTTTTTTACACCAAAATAAAGAGTAATTCATGAGCTTTCAAATGATATCATACGTTTTATTCATACAATAAATTATTGCAACACAATTTTGAATAGTAAACACATAACTTATTGCAATTTCACTCTTTTTTCAGGCAATAAAGCTGAGAAAACAGCATTTTTAGTTTCACAACTCCTAAACACTAAAAACCAACAACTAAACACAATAATCAAACTTTTTATTCCCTTTAGTGTATTAGTTATTTATACATATATGAATCTAACATAATAAAATTATACATCCCACGCATGGATAAGGTCCACTGAGCCCCTGGGGTAGGGTTGGCTAGCCCCCTTCCCCCACTCTCAAAACAACTAAAAGTGTGAATATTTCCTATTTTCATTGCTTTGTTAGATATCCACATATTGATAAAAATGAAATATAAAAACACTGGTGTAATTGCACACGACTTTGTACACATACCCACCACTGAGCCCTGGGGTAGGGTTGGCTACCCCCACCCTCACCCTCCTCCAAAAAACTTTAAAAAAGTATGAATATTGCATATTTTCATTGCTTTGTTATTAGATATCCACATATTGATAAAAATGAAATATAAAAACACTGGTGTAATTGCACACAACCTTGTACACATACCCACCACTGAGCCCCTGGGGTAGGGTTGGCTACTTCCCCCTCCCCAAACAACTAAAAAGTGTGAATATTGCATATTTTCATTGCTAGGCCTAGGCCTACATAGACGCGTCATTCACACGCTACTATTTAGGTCTAGGCCTGCCGACTTCATTCACTAAATGCAGTCTGTACTTTTATATATATTTCTGTAAATCTGTACTCAGTATATTACATAAAATATTGCATTACTTTAGACATATGCAAGGCCTGGGCTAAGAATGGGCTAAATTACCGAAGAAGGCTAGGCCTAGCTAACATAACGCATCGGCCACCAAGCCTGACTGTTGTGCACACGTTGTTGTTGAAGGACAGCCTCAACAAATATCAATCAAAACTCTTGTTTTATCTCATTTATTGATAAATGTACAAGAAAATAAAAACACAGTAAGACATGTACATACATCGTTGCATACTAAAAAATCCTTTTCGGAGTCCAAATCCGCGAAGATTTCTGAAATGACCTTCTGAAAACAGAGTGCGATCCATTTTCTTTGTTGTGTTTCGTATCCAGGAGATAGGCTTACTCAGGCTCTTTGGCGTAAACAAACACGTCACGCGCTAAGCATGTTAGGGGGTGGTGGGGTTTCAAAATTGAAAAAATATATGGCCCAAAACGAATTAATTGCAGAAATTTCTACCACAGGTCCACAACTTCCTTATATATCGGATTGTATAATAATACTCAAAAGACGGAGATTTCCATCTTTGGCAGTCAAGCGTTGTGTAACAAAAGACAGAGATCTCCATGTTAAGTGTTAAAATGTCCCAGAGTGAAAATTTTATTTGTAAGTTGAAAATTGCATGGGTCCCACGTTGGAAAAAGTCATTTTTTCCAGTAGGTCTGTTTAAACAGGCTTTCTTAGCACATATAATTTTGTTTCGCTACTTATAGTGACACCAATTAACACTGACTTCTGTGAGATAAATAATAAAGGGTTTAAAATACAGTAGTAAAAACATGCAGATTTAATGAATTTGCGAGAGTTGGGTTATTTTCCAGGAGATTCTTGTCCTGTGTGCGTGAGTGCAGGAAACTCTTGTGAATTGCTGGAGACTTGGAACTACTGAAATTTAGGTGTGGACGTCAAATACATCAAATTAGATCAGATACCTTTGGTGGGCTGTGAAGTGCTGTTTCAACCCTTTAAGTTTGCCACAACCCCTGGATTTGAGATGGTATTAGACCTCAAAAGCTTATGCCAAGTTGTATAGAGTTGTGACAGCCTAGTCCAATTATCACCATTGATTCTAACATCAGGCCTTAAAATAGAGGTTCTTAGTATCGCTCAGTCTTTTACAGTAGTGTATATACTACAAGGTTTTGCTTGATTTTCTTTCATGTTAGATTTGACCCGACCTAGCACAGAAAGTGGTAATCAGATTTACGATTTGGTGGTGCAAGGCTTGCAGTATCTGGACACAAGGACGGAATTTTGGCGTCAACAGAAACCCATGTACGCCCGCAAGAGGGACAAGGCTGAAGGAAGGCGGAATAAGAACAAGTTACCAACAGATCCGGCAAAATTCATCCTCAAAAACCTGGAAGAAATTGACAACTGTAAGCTGTAGCTTACTAAATAATAAATTGTTAAATTAAAAAAAACACTTAAAATAATAATAGCGCCAATATTAGGAAGCTTTCGATTGCATGACGCAGTAGGACCTAGAACGTAATGACGTCAATATGAAGTCATCTGCGCATATGAGAATGTTCAGATTCCATGTCGAGTGGATTCTAGGATGCATTTTGGCCAAATCTATTTTGTGCAGAGAACGTAGGACAGTCACGCATGAGTGAATGCTTTATAGAATTGCATCATTGTGCAAATTGATAGCTCCCTATTATGAAATTCTTTACAGGGAGCTGGTATGTGCTCCTTAGGCTTGATACAATGAATATGTGAAGCACATACAGTCATAATTAGGAATATAGGCTTCTTCTATTCAATTAAGTGTAAATTCTGCTCAATATACAAACTAACTTATAAAAAATTTCCTCTGTAATTTTTCCAGCCTTGGCCAAGAACAAACCCAAAGATGCCCTGAGTCAGTCCAAACGTGTCCTGAGGACAGTTGAAGGCTGGAAGGAATCTGATGTACCAGATAAAGACGATTACCTCGCTAATTTACATAGCTGCATTGGTAATGCACAATTGGATCTTGGCAACATGGAATCTGCATTAAAACATCATAACATTGATTATGATTTATGCAAATCAAGGTGAGCATTACAAACCAATTAGATAAAAGTATGTAATTTATGTAAGTTTTTTTGGCCAATCAAAAATATTGCCTTACCTATTCTCAAAGACCTAGGTTGTGCATTTTTCGACTGACAGTGATAAAGCAACAACATCTATGCATCTAAGACTAAGCCATTTCCAAGTTTTGTCAAGGAAGATTATTCCAATAAGTAAAGTAATATTTAAAAAAGAAACAAAACAATTTGAATGCATACATGGGGCAAATGGCAGCCATACTTTGATGACCCACGATTTTAGGTGCACAAATTCAAATAGTTTTTAGTTATCTCTTTCTTCCGGACACTAGGTCCGCCTTTATTATTCTCTTTATTCCCCCAGCCTATTGAGCAAAGATTACAGTACTTTATAAAACAAACACAAAGTACTAGTACTATGATAGTTTTTTTTTTCTGGGTATCAAAGAGCATGCTCAGTTTCTCTGACCTTGTGGGAGCAATTACATTCTGCCTGTGTCCTTGAGCGAGGCACTTCACTTACAGTTGTCTCTTTTCATCCCGAAGTATAAGTGTGTACCTGGTAGGCTTGAACGCCAGCATGCTGATTACGAGCTGCAATATTATGGAATGCTCCCCCAGGGAGCTGAGTATGTGTTCCATAGGTGTTTGATGCGATAATAATAATAATCAACAATTACCTGGTTAATAATGTGAAACGCATAGGTGTATGATGCACTGTATGTTATTTGCATATTATTATTATTATTATTACCTTCACTAATACTAATTATTGTTTTTTGTTTTTTTTTAACACAGTGGTAGCGAGGATGGACGATCAAGAGCATTGGATAACCTAGGCAGAGTGCATGCTCGTATCGGTCAGTTCAAGGAAGCAGTCAAGTACTGGAAGGAGAAGTTACCGGTGGTGAAGTCTGCGTTAGAGGCAACATGGCTGTACCATGAGATCGGTCGCTGCCACTTGGAATTAGGAGAATTCTTGGAAGCGCATGACTTTGGCGAGAAGAGCTTGAAGGCAGCACAAGAAGCAGGAGATGATGTCTGGCAGCTAAATGCTAGTGTCCTTATTGCGCAATCTGAAGGTAAGCATTAAAATTGGGTGGTTCCAGTAAGCCCCGCCGCTTGGATATGGTTACTAAGTTCGTACAGCGTAGTTTGTGGGACAAGCAAGTATTCCTGGCCCAGTTCTGATTGGTCAATTGTTAAGTTTGATTGATACACTTGGACGGTCCGTTGGAGTGGAGCTGTGTAGCTTGATGGTTAAGATGGTTGCCTGCCAATCCCATAACCCTGGGTTAAAATCTTGTTAGGACACTAAGGTTTTTTCGTAAGACCAATAGAACTCCACTCTGTTAAAGAAGATTACAAACCATAATGGAAATGAGCCAGGCTCTAAGAAAAACAATTTTTTAATATGTTGTACAACTGATTTTTGTAAGAAACAAAAAGAATATTTGATGAACATAAAAACCACTCTTTTTTGTACTCCCCCCCCCCAAGTATTTTAAGTATTAAAAAATCTGTATCTCGTTAACCGTTCACAAGCTTTTTGTGTCTTAGAAAAATTAGTTGTACAACTTATTAACAATTTTTTTTTCTCCAGAATTTTTATTAGTTGCTTCTACGGCTCAACAACAGTTTTATTAATCTTCTGAGTTTTTGTCACTGATAGCTACAACATGCATCCCATTGGAAATAGTGTTACATATATGCTGATTGATTGATTGATTTTAAAACACAATTGAAATTCCTAATGGAAAACATATACCCAATTTTGCACAAATGATATCATATGATGGTAAAACAATCCCTATGTTCAGATAGAGATACTCCAGATTAAGGGACAATTCCCAGTTGTTGGAAATACATACGTGGGTCAAGGTAAAAACATATCCACTCATTGTAAAATGAAAAATAATTTGATGACTTTTTTTTGTATTTGTTTCACAAACCTACCAGCCATTGTTGATGATTTCGAATAAAACTTAAATATTATTTTGGCCTGTTTGTCCAGCAACTGCTGTGGAAAAATTAAAATATTCTGAAAAAAAAAAATTGTTACCCAAACCTCAATGAAGTCTCTCAATAATAAATGTATATTTCATCCTCACAAATAAAATAAAACAATTTATATAGCTAAATACTGAACTGTTTACATTCCAACATCACATTCTTTTAGGAATAGACCATATTTAGGATTTTATCAATAGGAACTCTATTAGCAAGGGCCCTTAGGCATCTATTACATTTTTTTTTATCTAACTTACATTTATTATTCCTTAATTTTTTTTTGTTACATGCTTTTGGTAAAACTATTTTACTAATTAAAAAAAAAAAGTTTATTTTTTTTTTGCCATCCTCTTGATCTTTCAAATTAAAAGTTTGCTAAACAAGGTATTAAAAAAAAAGCTTTGCCTTAGTGAAGGTGATGCAGTAAAAGCCTACAAATTATTTTCAGCTTTCTGCTTATGTTTTTATCTCTGTAGTAAAACTTGGTGATTTGCACGAAGCCATTGAGTCCTTTGAGCGGTCACTTGAAATGGCGAAGGTCCAGGGTGATTTCCCAGCACAACAGGCAATCTCCAAAGCACTGGAAGATCTCAATGAAAAGATAGTTAAAGGATTGAAAGGAGATGATGAGGAGGAGGAGGAGGAAGAAAATGAGGAAAAAAAGAATGATGATGAGAATAAAAGTGATGAGGAGAAAGAGGAAAAAGATGACAAAGAAAAGGGTGAAAAAAATAAAGATGATGAAAAGGAGGATGATGAAAGGAAGGAAGACAAACATGAAGACTCTTCATCAGGTGAGCAAAATAATTTAAATTGCATTGTTAAACATTATTATATAATTAAAGTAATAATAATTTCAACCACAGACCCTTTCAACTTCATATAGCTAGACACTTCTGTGCGCTTTACAGTTAACAAAGAAAAAAGATAGAGGAAGTAGGAAAAAAAAACAACAAAAAAACAAAGTTAAACGGTACAAAAACTCCCAAAGAAGAAGGTTTTCTTTTATAGCAGTATGTGACCTGCTCTAGCAAAATGCCTTCGTTTGTCGCATTTTCTAATTTTGAACATTTTCATGTTTTTGCATTTTAAAAAAGAAGATATATTGAAGAACATTTCTGTAAAATATCAATCACTAAATCTAACTGAAAAGTATATTAAAATTGTTTTTAAGATTACAAATCTTTATAATAAACTATTGATTTTTGGAATCTTTGGAAGCTGTTTTCTCATAATCTACATGGCTGATATTCAATGAAATATATATTCATAACTTTGCTAATACTCAACCAATTTCCATTAAAAAAAACACTGTTTTAAAGACTACTTACAGAATCTAAAAACACCAAAACTAAATTTTGAATTTTCCCTACAAACGGAGGTTTTTGCCAAAGCCGGTCACAGCATTGCTTATCAAATATCAAACTTTTATCTTTCAGATGAAAGCCACAAGTCAGATGACAGCAAAAAGTCAGATGACAGCAAAAAGTCTAATGACAGCAAAAAGTCAGATGACAGCAAAAAGTCAGATCACAGTAGGAAGTCTAATCGTTCTGGTGGTAAAAAGTCGTCTGATGAAACATAGTAAAAGTCAAATAATTAAAAGATGTAGTTTTATGTCAAAAATTAAATATAAATCTTAATACATTTGCTTAACCTTGACGACATTGCTGAGACTGAACCATTTTTGTTATTACAGGCTGTCAACTTGGATATCACCTCAACTGTTTATAGTTTAATCTTCATAATTATATTATTATTTTTTAATCTGAATAGTTAAATGTAAAATAAAATATCATTGCTCAGAATTTCTAACTTCTGTTATGTATTACGTAATGTCTGCCATTTGTTGTTTCTTTCACTGTAGATACCTTATTTATTTGAATAAACACCCTGCCTTGAATAAATGCTCCCCTTGAGTAAGTGCCATCCAGAGCCTCATTTTGAATAAACACCTTCCTCACTTTTCCTCGAATAAATGTCCCCCCCCCCTTCCCAAAAAAAAAAAAAGAAATTAATATTCTACTCTAATAGAATAACATTTTTTCTAACCTGACTGGAATCGATAAGTCTTCATGATCAAGCGATAACACATTTTATCGCTAATTATGTGTTGTAGTTCCACATTTACAGTGAAATTAAAGGCGTTTATTTGAGTATATACATATCCATTTTACACAAAAAAAAATAAACGCTTCCCTTTAATAGATGCTCCCTTCAACATTGAATGCCACAGGGCTTGTATTCAAATGCATACGGTATATATTTCCTGTGGTAAAATCAGAAAATCATTAAAAATTCCATCAAAGTGTTCAATTGTCCATTTTGAAGGAGCAACCATTTAAATCATTCACAGGTAAAAACAATCCAGTTTTTGCTGGTTTATATAATTTTTACTTAAAAAATATATATAGTAATAGATGGTATTATTTAATATTGTGAGCAGAATATCATCTCTTAATAATTTTAACTACAATACAAAATTGTATGCAATTAAAATATAGATTTTTTTAAAGCCAGGCTCTGTAGGAAAAAAATTCTAAGATGCAAAAAAGTGTTCAACAAAAAAACTTGGAAACATAGTGAGATATAGATTTTTGAGTATCTAAAAACTGGGGGGGGGGGAAGGGGAATAACCACCTTTCCCCCAGGTTTTTAAATATTAAAAAATCTGTACCTCATTAACTGTTCCCAAGTTTTTCGTAAAATATGCTTTTTGTGTCTTAAAAAAATCAGTTGTAAACATATCAAAAAATAGTTTTCCTCTGCAGCCTAGCTTTAACCAAGCATAGACATTACTGTATTTTAATTTTCTTACTGAGCAAAATGCTAGTCTATCAAATTAGAGCAATTACATTCGTAATAATTAAATAAGATGCGGCTCACATTATTTTACGCAAAAGAGAGAAAAGGGGAAAGTTGCAAAAGTTCAAAAGGGAAATTTCAGTCCACAATCACAGTTCATCGAGTAATTGCCTTTGCAAATACAATTATGGAATAAGTTTACTCATAAGGTGGTAGCAAGAAACAAAGGAAGAACACAGCTCAGAGCCCAGGGGGTGATTTCGTCTATGACGTTGTAAAAATCCAGTTACAACCAGATGGTATACTATTAAAATAAGTTTGGATATGAAATGGTTTTACTCTCTATTAAAATATGATTTATACCCAAGAGTAATACATATATTTGAAGTTGAAAATTTATTAGCATGTCATGATTAAATTTTTATGATGAAATGAAGTAGGTTTGCTTGGCATCCTCTCCAAATTGTGCATGTGCCGATGGGTACACATCCATAAATGGTCGTATAGGGGGCAGTTAAAACTGTTGACTGTTATCTGTGCGACCTTGGAAGGGGACACTGAATGTAATTAGATGGCTTGTGGGATATTTTGATTGTGAAGGGGATGCAGCACATTAGCAAGTACTGAAAACAACTGTTGTATGCCCATATATAGTCATGATGTGCCTATATATATTATGTTAGACTTATATAGCGCTTAACGCCAACAAGGCCTCTACGCGCTTCAAATTATTACCCCCGGTCATTGGACTAAACGCCTATGAAACCCAAACCAAGCTCCCTGTGGGGGAGTATTTCATAACGTTGCAGCAGCTACATCAGCGCATTTTGGCATTTAACCCAACCAGGTACCCATTTATACTTCTGGGTGGAGAGAAGCAATGCAGATAAAGTGCCTTGAAAAGGATTTAGAAATACCTGTGCAAGGGGGTTAAACATGACTATAAATTTATTAGCAGAAGTTACTGTGACTGCATAAGAAATAATAAATGACCGTGTACGTGTACAAAAGCGTTAATTAAAGTGACTGTGTCCCTGTGCAAGGGATATTAAAAGCCACTGATAGATAAGATGCTAAAAATTGTTAGGTGAATGATGCTAGAAGTTGCCATGTGACCCTGAATGTGATGTTAAAGAAAAAGGTAAAGGTTGGAGAATAATAATCTGGTCTGCGACTACCTAGCTGCATTAAACAGGCACTTATATTAGCTACATTTTCACATCATTCCACAATGACAGGGGCTGAAATAAACCATAGCACTGGGGTTACTCCTTACTCCTCCTAAAGATGCAATGGGTTCATTAAAGTGCACACGAGCCAGATGTGTTCACTGGACCTCCATTTAAGTTCTTATCTGAGAAGACTTGGTTCTACCAAGCAAACCGTGGGTAAGGGGCGGCTGAAACCAGCACTGATGTTAAGGCTGTAGTTAGTGGCTGAACTTGCTCTATAAGTGAAGAAAAAAGTGTGATTCAGGTTACTAAACAAGTGGTCAAATATCAGCTGAAGGATTTTAAAAGTGACCATTATAACTGTAAGGTATTTTATGAAGCAGTCTGAAATATGTGTAGTGAACTGTGAAGAACTTTTATGAAGTTAGCAGGCTGATAAGTATTGGGCAAGGGTGCTATGCTATGAAATGTCTTCAAAGGTAGGCCTACTAAAACTGAAAATCTGTGAAGGGGATACAAATGGCCAGGTAGGTGTATGTGGTACATGGCAATAGAAAAACTACATTACCCAATGACAGAAGTAGCACAAAAAAACCTTGTGTTAACATTTTCGTTTATTATAAATTATATCTGCACCTAAACTGTCACTCCAATATACTAATTTCAAAATATGTTGATTACATTGAGTTTCGTAACAAGTTATCAATATCCTCTGATTACCCTAAGGTTCCAATGACAGACCTTTACATTAGGTTCACGAGGTCACCCTACCTACTGACATCATTTCTCGTGAACCAACTCTACATATTTATAAAAACAGAATGAATAATCAATGTGTTGCATATGAAACAAAAAATAGCAATGAATAATTTAAAATTACTGTTTTCCTTATGCTTAATTACTTTCGGTGTAGTCTGAGTTCATACTATTGCACCAATGATATGTATGGACCGTCTCTAACTTCAGTGAATATGAGACAGATTTTGGTCAACTTTTTCACAGCACGATTATGTTTTAAAACAGAAAACTGTGTATTAATACTGATTGTTTTATTATAATAAATCAATAGCACTGAAGCTATTAGTATTGGTCCTGTAACCCTTTACTATCATAGATTTCGGGCTTAGTTATTTACATCAGTATCACAATACTGATTTCTACAATATTGATTTTTTACAATATAATCACTATAACCATCACTATTATTGTGAAATCGCTAAATGTACTTGGTACTCACCGTTTACGGTATTGATTTCCCGCGTAGCAATTAAACAATCTGTGATTACACTGTCACAACTTGACTGGTCGAGCTCTGGACTTGAAGTGCTCTATCTTCCCGAGAGCCTTGGGTCTGCCGGGTGTTGCACGTGTATTGGTA